GGGCCATTCGTGTTGGTGTTACTTTTTTTTTTTATATGCCACTTGGGCCATTCCTGTTGTGCCTTTTCTTTACCTGTTTTTTTTTTTTTTATTTTGTTTTTTTATATAACTTCTCGCACGTTGCAGTGGGTGTTTAAAAAATTTTTATCGTCCATTTCAGCATACTGAGATGTAGCACATGCAGCTTACACGGCATTAGGGAAAAGCACTTATTATGTGCTTGTTTATACATAGGGCATTTTTCGCCAACGCATAAGCAATACGTGTCGCGGTGAACAACAATGTGAATAGGCCACTTGCGTAACAAAAGTGTTTACGTATCCCTATTTAATTTTTTTAGCAGTTTTTTCACCTGCGTTTTTTCGTTAATTCCATGGCCCAGTGACAAATACGTTTTTTTTTTTTTTTTTTAGCTGTTTTACGCGCAGCTTACGTTTGAACTACTATCTCGTACGTGAATATAAAAAAGTGCCAGCGATATTTTCCGAGGAAGCGTAAGAGTATCATTTTTTGCGTTAACCTTTTCGTTCATTTTGCGTTCATTTTTGAGATCATTTTGTGTTCATTTTTTGCGATCATTTTGCGTTTATTTTTCGTTCCCGTTTGCGTTCCCTTCTGCGTGCCTGTTGCTTTCTTTTTTGCGTTCTTCCGTACGTTAATCCCTACGGTCATTTTTCCCCCTTTTAATTTAACGCCTTTTCTGTTCTACTATTTTCCTCATTTGTGAGAAAATTTGAGAAAGTTGTTATCCCCCAAAGACGCTACACATCCATCAGTGATGTGAACTCTCCTAAGGAGCATTTCTCAAGTCCATAATTTTAACCACACATATTTTCAGCATGCCCCTATGTTCATTTACTTGCGTATGCATATTCCTGCATAGGGCCTTTTGATCAGCCAACTTCTTTTCGGCCCCTTTCGTTTTTTCTCACCTTATTTTATTTATATATTTACTTATTTATTATTTTTTTTTTTTTCACTGTTGTTATCGTGTTGTTCTTCCTTTTTTGGTACCCAATTGTTTAAGTCAGCGGGTCACCCGTACATGCATGTAAAAGGATAAGCATTCGAGAGATACCTCCGCAGCGTTATTCCTTAAGGGGTGTTTTAAAAGAAGCTGCAGATTTTTTTCTCTTACCAATTCCATGGTTTGTTAATTTTGACATAAAAAAGAAGAAATCACTCTCGTGATTTTCCCCCAAGAAATTCGTGTAGATATGCCCTACTGCATCAGTCTCATGAGTACGTGAATGCACACATATATATGCACATATGCATATATTATGTTAACGTTATGTACGCCCCCATGTATGCGCCTTTGCGCGTAGGTACGCTGACGTAAGCCGTATACTCCTCCTTGCGCTTATTTCACCTGTGCGTGTGTATGACCACTTAAAACATGCAACTGCAGATGCGCTTGCCAGCCTGTGCGAACGCAAACAAGTCCATGTGCCTCGCATCCATACGTCGGTGCACACGTGAGAATAGCTCGTCGACGCGTAACCGCATAAACGGGCACACATGTTCACCCCCCTATATTGCTGCCCCAATTGAAAAGGTAGTTAATTTCGCACATACCACCCACGAACAGAAGAGGAAAAGGTATCACCATCATTTAGGTAGTTTGCAGATACACACAAGAAGGCGCTTTAATGGTATAAAATGGTTTGTGAGAAAAACTAAAGGAAACAATGCCAGAACGAAATGAACAGGTTAAGGAAAGTAATGGTCCCATAAACGATTTATCCATTGGAAGTACTAGCGAGGATGAGAACCCGAAGATAAATAATAGCGATGGGATCAACAAGGAAAAGAAGAAAAAAAAAAAATTATCGAATGGGGATATCAATGTAGGAGAAAAAAAAAAAAAGGAGGAAGTCAACGTGAATAACCACGTAGAGGATGACAAACAGGAATCACACAACGGCGACATTTACGAGGAGGAAGACAAAACCAACATAACAAATGATGATAATTATTCCGAAGAAGATAAAACTGTAGACAGGACCAGAAGTAAAAGCAGAAGTCTAGATACAAATAACGAAGGTGCAGATGATATAGATAAATTTAGGAATTGGAATAATAATGGATACAAGAAAAAGAAAAGCATTGACGAAATAAACGGAAAGGGAGAAAATGGGGAAGATCAAAATCTGATAAAAAATAACCAAAAGATAGAATGTAGGAGGAGGAAAAGTAGTAGTAAGGAAATCAAATGTTACAAAGATTTAAAATATCTGAAGGATTATGCTAATTTAAAAAGTACAAACAACAGATTTACAAATTTTATGCGATTTTATGGATACAGGGGAATACCCAATAATGGAAGTAAAAGTAGAATGTCCATATCGAGCCAGAATAGCAATAACAATAATGCAAATTTGAAAAGTCATGAACACAATAAAGATACCTTCAAAGTGAGATTAATCTCAACCATCATACTCATATTTTTATGCTTGCTCACAGTGGCAGCTGGACACTTTTACTGTTCTGTTCTAGTGCTAGTACTCGTAACCGTTGTGTATAGAGAAATCATATCTTTGAAGAGCGTAGAAAACAAGGACAAAAAATTGCCAGAAATTTTTTACATAAGATGGTACTGGTTTGTCTTAACCATATTGACATGGGGTATACCGTGGATTATTCCCAAATTGAAACATCAAATAGGACTCTTTAAGTACATATTAAAATATCACTCTATAATTATGTTCACATCAGCATTTTTTGGATTAGTATGGTTTATACTATCTCTAAGAAAGTTTTCTTTAAGATATCAGTTTTCTCAGATAGGTATCATACTATTATCATCCCTATTTATCGTAACACAATCATTAATGCACATTGCAAATATTTACTCGGGGTTAATTTGGTTTGTAGTGCCCGTAACGTCAGTTGTGGTAAATGATATTTTTGCCTACGTATTTGGGGTCCTCTTTGGAAGAACAAGATTGATCGCATTATCCCCAAAGAAGACAGTCGAAGGATTTATTGGGTCATCTGTTATAACCGTTTTGTATAGCCTAGGTGCAACGTACGTTTTACAAAACTATAAATTCTTTGTTTGTCCTCAAAGTCACATTTCCCTTATACCGTTTTATACGCTGTATACGACCGACTGTGAAAGTAGTTCCATTTTCAAGCCAAAATATTACACCCTACCAAGTCAGTTATCCTCCTTACTATCTATCAATAAGATATATTACACCAACATGGTTTTTCACGGATTAGTTTTGAGCCTCTTTGCCGCGTTTTTGGCACCCTTTGGTGGCTTCCTTGCATCAGGTTTTAAGAGAGCACTAAAAATTAAAGATTTTGGACATTCCATTCCAGGACATGGTGGTGCTACCGATAGATTTGATTGTCAAATTTTTATTGGTATGTTCACCTACATCTATTTGAAAACATTTGTTAAGATTAAAGGGGGGATTAATTATTCCTATGACGTCCTTATCGACTCAATACAGAAATTGGATCATAAGGAAGTTCTTCGCCTTTTTAATCAGCTAAAAAATATGATAGACAAGAAGAGGAGGAAAAACAGCGACAAGAAGAAGGACCAACAAAACAAGCACCATTCCAAGGATGACAAGTGCAACGGCAACAACAGGCAGCCTGTGAGCTAGTCTCGATGCGATCGTTTGTTATATGTACAGACAGATATGTACATATGTGCGTACAATATACATATATATATACATATAATTTACATTTTTATGTAATATTTAGTTCTACTAATGCACAGTCAATAGCAGCGCATGGGCGGTGTTCACCCCCACGTTGTGCAGCGTACATGTGCACACAGCGAAGTTTAAGAAAGCTCGCATTTTCTTGCCCCTTCCTAATTAAATAATTCTTTCCCCCCACCCCTATTTACCCTCCCCACTTTTGTACGCATTTTTTTTATGCACATTTTTGGTACGCCAAAAATATTAAGTGAAAGAGAAAAAGGGAAGAAGACAAGAAGAATAGAAGCTCACTGTACAAGGAGAGCCCCCTCCTTGAATGCGCCCTCCATGCATATTCCTTATTATCACATTAAAGAAAAAAAAAATTGCGTTCGTTTATTTTTTTATTTATTTATATATTTTTTTTTTCTTCTTTGTTTGATACCCTGTTGTGTATCAGTCCGCATGTAAAACCTGTGGTATAAGGCATAATGCGCGTGTGCGTAAGAACTTGTGTATGTATATATATGTATATCTACACACCAACATATCAGCATGTATGTATATGTTTTTTTTTTTCAAATTTAGCTGAGCGTTTAATGGGTGCTCCACATACATTATAACGGTCAAATATATTTATGTACTGCGCGGGTACATGAGCATGTATTATTCCGCAGCATACGACTACAAAATTAATTTAATTAGTTACATTGCATTTTCGGAAACAAAAAGAAAATGAAAAAGCTAACATATGAACAAAAAAAAAAAAAAAAAAAGTGTACATGCTTAGTATGTAAACTGTTCATAAATGTTTGTTTAGCTAGGCAGCCCAGCTACCTAGCTTTTTTTTTTTTTTTTTTTTTCCTTCTTACTCCATTTTATCCCTTTTTAGGATAAATGCTAATTTTCCTTTTGAAATTGTTTTTTGCCTTTTCATTGTTTTTAAGATTAAAAATGATTTTCTTGCCTTCATCTCTACTACACCTCATCCCCTTTTTTTTTTTTTTTTTTTTTTCCCCATGTTG